CCTCTGATGCCTCAAATTATCTCGCATCCACACCCAGAGCACACAGCCCCCACCAGCCAGGACCGCCTCTCTTGCTCAAGGAGGCAGCAAAGCTCATTTTCTGTCTGGACAGAAAAAAAAGTCTCGTCAACAAACCCTCCACCAGACAAGCCTAAATCCCTCAGAATTAGCCAACAACCCTCCTAAGGCATATTCCAGTGAGTTTTTTAAAGCCACGCGCTCCAGCTGTGATTCGGGCAGATGCTGAATGCTTGGGGGGTGAGGATTGGAGCTCAGGATTACCCAGCTCCCATGGAGAGGTGAGGACAACATCAGGGCCCAACCCTTCCAGCAAGGATTTCTTAGGCAGCGTTATGGCTTTATAAAATCCTGTTTTAGTTGCCCTGGGTGAGTATTTCACCTTGGCAGCTGATGCAGCCATGTAATAACCATCATTATTCCCATCAAGGCCTCACAGATGTTCTGCTGCTGCCAAGGAGAGCAAGTCAGCTGCAAAATCATGTCATAGAAATCTTAGAATCACAGAAATATTTGGGTTGGAAGGAACTTAAAAGCTCATCTCATTTCAACCCCCTGCCATGGGCAGGGACAGCTCCCACTATCCCGGTTTGCTCCAAGCCTCATCCAGCCTGGCCTTGGACACTTCCTAGGATGATGCTCAGAGAGGGTCGAAAAGTCAGGAATTAAAGAACTTCAGAAGCAAATATTGTAATGCTGCTTGAGCAGTAAAATTACAGTGTTTAAAATCATCAGAAAATGATGAATCAGGAAAAATCAGGGTGGATATTCCCCAGAGGAGATCAGGCAGCCCAGACAGGCTCAGGGAGGAGCACAATTCACCACTACCCCAAGCAAAGCAGATCTATTTGGTTATTACATAAACCTGCATTTCGTGCTCTTTTTGTAAGCAATGATGGTTGTAAACCCTGAAGATGAAAAAAGCCACCCCTGCATTAATTAGGACAACAAAAAAATTATGGTAGGAGAATGACTATACATAGAAACTTTTCTTTTTTGTAAAACCTATAGGTGTTGGCCCTTCAGCAGCCTCCTTAAGAGCTATTTGTTGTTCAGTGCTGAAGCAGGCTCACCATGATTCAATCAACACTGATTTAACAAGTGATAAGAGAGGTTTGCCCAAGGCCTCCTGACCCATTTCCTTATCTTGTTCCTTTAGTGTTGGATTTTGCTCCAAAGGCCAAAGCCTCAGCAAACACCATTCATTTTTTTTCTGATACACTATAAAAATACGATGAGGTAAAAGGGGATTTGTTTCATGCCTGGTTTGGGCACACAAGGGATTTTTGAACTCTCTGGGAAGTCTCAAATGGGGAAACTTTCCTGGCTGCGTTCAGCATCATATATAAAAACAACTTATCATTGAACCACAGAATGGTTTGGGTCAGAATGACCTTAAAAGTTCATCCCATTCCACCCCCTGCCATGGCCAGGGACACCTCCCACCATCCCAGGTTTCTCCAAGCCCTGTCCAACCTGGCCTTGGACACTTCCAGGGAAGCAACAACTTCTCTGGGCACTGTGTGCCAGGCTCTCACCACACTCACAGGGAACAATTCCTTCCCAATATCCCATCATACCCATTCCCTGTGTCCTGTCCCTCCATCCCTTGTCCCAAGTCCCTCTCCAGCTCTCCTGGAGCCCCTTTAGGCACTGGAAGGGGCTCTGAGCTCTCCCTGGATCCTTCTCTTCTCCAGGTGAACACCTCCAGCTCTCCCAGCCTGGCTTGAGAGCAGTGGGACTCCAGCCTCTGTAGCATTTTATCTCAAAAATTATCAACTTATCTCAAAAATGATCAACTTATCTCAAAAATGATCAGCTTATCTCAAAAACTGACATGTTCTCAGTCCAAACCAACTGCAATAGGGGCAGCAACTTTGACACTTCCCCAAAAAGGGCAGAAAGTCAGCACTCTGTGCAAAGTTTTAGTTCATACTTTCATTTCTTGAAAAAGACACCAAATATTTGCAGGGAAAGCAGGTGGCTGGTCCCTCAGCCCACAGAGGACACCAGCAGAGTCTGAAGGATGGGCTCCCTGGTGACTCAGAGCAAGGCAAAATAAAAGGTGTTTTATGGGACTGCACAGGTTTAAAAATTGCTCTTCTGGGTGAAAACCTGGCTGGAAATAAGGAGGTGTAGGGAATTCAGAGGGAACTGACCAAGTTACTGGAATAAATCAGAGTTCACTGATGTCTGACTACAGCTCCACATGACTGGAGGCACTGAGGCTTTTGGAGCCAGATTGTATAAAGGGCAGGACAAAATCCAGGTTATTTCTCCTGTGTTTTATGCCAATAAAACCTCACAGATAGCGTGGAAAACTGAAATCAACCTTCAAAGTAGAGAGAAGAAATACTGTGGAGTCAGAGGCAAGTTAGGCAAATTACAAGTGAGTTTTTAAAAACTATTTTATGTTAAGGCCCAAATAAAAACATAGTGAAGAGGTGGTTAAATATTACATGCAAAGGCATGCAGTGGTCCAAGGGCCATTGCACATAGAGCATTGAAGAAAATACATTTAAATACATCAAAAACATCTCCCATTTTACTGACTAAATGCTGGGTTGTGCAGTCAAGTGTATTAAATGTTATTCTGATTTTTCTCATCACTTCACTAGGAAATCTTCTCAAACCAAAATAAACCTTTAAAATTGAGTGTGACCAAAATTGATTGATATAAATGGAAACAGGGGGAAAAAGGAATATGCTCAGTTTTTTGATCACTGATTAATTATTTTTTGATCCAGGCCACGTGGTCTTTTCATTTCTGAGAATGGTGGGGAGTACAGCTTTCACCTCCTCCTCACAGAGAAGGATGATAAAACAATAATAAAAATACATACTTTTTCTCATTATAGAGAAGCTTTAGTGTCATTGTGGTTTAGAAGAGGGCTTGAAACTGGTTCCCGAGATTCTTTTTCTGTTGTTCATACTCCTGAAAATTGGCCAAAATGAGGGAAAAAAGTGTCAGTCAGCACAGCAACACAGTGAAATATTTCTGTATTTCCAGATGAAAACTTCAAGAGATGCTGACAGGACAGCATGGAGACAGGATAGTAGTGGGGTGCAAGGAGGGTGGAGTAGGAAAATTAGATGGGAGAGAGGCAGGCTGGAAGAGGGAAGCAGGAGGATCACAGAACCCCAGAACGGTTTGGGTGGGAAGGGACCTTAAAGCTCATCCCATTCCACCCCCAGGCTGCTCCAGGCCCTGTCCAACATGGCCTTGGACACTTCCAGGGATCCAGGGGCAGCCACAGTGTCTCTGAGAAACCTGTGTGATGCAGGTGGAGTTGAAATGGGATGTGTGTGGGATGCAGAAGGGTTGAGGAAGGATAAGGGCAGGTTAGAGGAGGAAAACCAGATGGGAAAGAGACCAGATGGAGGAGAGAAACGGGAAGGAAAAGGTACAGAGGCAGGATGGAGACAGGATAGCAAAGGGTGGGATACAGGAAAAATCCAGACAGGTTGCTGGAGGAAAACTAGATGGGATGGAGGAAGAAAGCAGGAAGGATGTGGATGGGATTAAGCTGGGATAAAGGTGGGATGAAGGTGGGATTGAGGAGGAATGCAGGCAGATTGGAAGATGAAAAGGAAATGGGATGGAGTGCAGCAGGAAGGGAGAAAGGCAGGAGGGTCTTTGGGATCGAGGAAGGTCAGAGACAGGCTGGAGGATGGATACAGGTGGGCTGGAGGTGGAATTGAGGAAGGAAGGATGCAGGCAGGGTGGAGGTATGAAAAGCAGGTGGGATGGAGGAGGGATGGAGGAGGGATGGAAGCAGAGCAGGGGTGCAGGCAGGATTGATGGAAGCCTGCAGGGGCAGGGATGGAGGCAGAAGGGAAGCAGGCAGGAGGAAACAAGGGAAGCAGTGAGGAGCAGGGATGGAGCCGGGAGCAGGGATGGAGCAGGGATGGAGGAAGGAGGGAAGCAGTGAGGAGCAGGGATGGAGGAAGGAGGGAAGCAGTGAGGAGCAGGGATGGAGCAGGGATGGAGGAAGGAGGGAAGCAGTGAGGAGCAGAAATGGAGCAGGGATGGAGGAAGGAGGGAAGCAGCGAGGAGCAGGAATGGAGGAAGGAGGGAAGCAGTGAGCAGCAGGGATGGAGGAAGGAGGGAAGCAGTGAGGAGCAGGGATGGAGGAAGGAAGGAAGCAGCGAGGAGCAGGGATGGAGGAAAGAAGGGAAGCGGTGAGGGGCAGGGATGGAGGCGGGAGCAGGGATGGAGGAAGGAGGGAAGCAGCGAGGAGCAGGAATGGAGGAAGGAGGGAAGCAGTGAGGAGCAGGGATGGAGGAAGGAGGGAAGCAGTGAGGAGCAGGGATGGAGGAAGGAGGGAAGCAGTGAGGAGCAGGGATGGAGCAGGGATGGAGGAAGGAGGGAAGCAGTGAGGAGCAGGGATGGAGCAGGGATGGAGGAAGGAGGGAAGCAGTGAGGAGCAGGGATGGAGGAAGGAGGGAAGCAGTGAGGAGCAGGGATGGAGGCAGCAGCAGGGATGGAGGAAAGAGGGAAGCAGCGAGGAGCAGGAATGAAGGAAGGGGGGAAGCAGCGAGGAGCACGGATGGAGCCGGCAGCAGGGATGGAGGAAGGAGGGAAGCAGTGCGGAGCACGGATAGAGCCGGCAGCAGGGACGGATGGAAGGAGGGAAGGAGGGAAGGAGGGAGGGAGGCGGGCTCGGGGGCGGGCAGCAGGCAGGATGCTGTCACGCCGGGGGCGGGCAGCCCGGGATGACTCAGCCTCCGGGAGCTGCCCCGGCCGTGCCACCGAGCGGGGCCGTGAGTGCCGGTGAGTCCCGGTGGGTCCCGGTGGGTCCCGGGGAGAGCCGCGGACGCGCATAAGAAGCGGTAAGGGAGGGGATGCTTCGGGCCAGGGCACACGGCAATGGGGCACCCCCTTGCACGGGGACAACAGCAGCAGCGTCTCCCGCTTTTTCCAGCGGCGTTTTGGGGGATTTTTTGGGATAGTGCGGGATGCGGGATGCGGGGTGAAGGAGGGGGATGCGCTGCGGCGCGGATTGTTGCCGGGAAAATGAACCCTCGAAACGCATTAAACCTTCAAGAAAAAGGTCACGGGAGGGGAGAGGAAGCCTTGTTTTTGTGATCGAGACAGGAAAACAGCGCAGCTCTGCGCTGCTTTGGCACCCTGGAGCATCCCGTGATGCACGGCCCAGCCCGGGTTTGGACCGGGAGCACTGGGAATGGCGCTGGAGAAGCTGCCCTGGGTCCCTCTGGCCTGGGCTGGATCTCCCATCCCCGTATCCCACTCTCAGGGATGCTCTGCGGGCGTGATGTAGCAAAGATCGCTTCCTCCTGGCATTTCCCTCGAAGGAAGGGATTTCCGTAGCACGGGGTGTGTGTGTGGGGGTTTGTGCAAGACTCTGGTTTATGGATTGGTCTGTAAGAAGAAGAGGAAAAAAAAAATAAAAATCAGTGCAGCTTCATTTGGGAGGAACCTTGTGCTTTCTGTGCATGGAAGCTGCGGAGGTGAGTGCTGCAGCTTGTCTCAGGAGGGAATGACTTTGTCAGATACAGAGCAGCCAGGTCTAGTAGGGCTGAAATTAGATGACCTTTAGGATCTCTTCCAACCCAGACCTCTCTAGGGTTGTTATCTGACCTGTGTTAGTGATCTGGCTTTGCTAGGAGGGAATAAGCATGGGGAGGAGCGTCTGATGTTGCTTTTTCTTGATGAAAAATAATCATCCAAGCTGTGGTAATGCAGGGAGAGCTGTGATGAAGTCAGCAGAGCACGGGTTTGGTGCTGCCCGGCTCACCTGGTGACACAGCAGGCTGAGCTGGATCGGGAGCTGGAGCTGAACCTCGCTGGGTTCGCTTTGTTGTGGTTGGAGTCACAAGCCCTGGCAGAGAGAACAAAGGACAAAGGCTGGTGCTGAGCAGGACACATGATTTGGGCTGTGCTGAGCACCCCTGGCCCTGGAGGGCTGGGGGGTGTTGTAGAAGGGAGGGTGGGACAGCTTTTACCTTCCTCAGAGCCTTGCAGAAGGTGTGGACACCTCTGTCTGTGCCTGCAGGGGGTTGGCCCAGACAGTGCAGGAGCTGGGAGATGCTTCAGGGCTGTGTCTTATCTGTGCTCTGGGCTGAGTCATGTGAGCTGAGCTCGGAATAGCCGGTTTGGGGGTTGGGTTGTTGCTTTTTCTTAAATGAAGTTATAAATGGGACTTGTGGGCTTTGTTTTGGGGAAGGAGTCCCAAGGGTGAAGGGATTCGCTGCTGTGGGTACCGTGTGCCTGCCTTGGCTGCTGGGAGGGTGATGTGGGGTCCTGCTGAGGTTGGGATGTCAGGGTTGGACTGTCAGGAGCTCCATCCTGGAGAAAACAGGCGGGGAGCTGCCCTGGCTCCCCGACCTGGTCAGGAAGGATGGAGATGGCACTTGGGTGGTGTCTCCTCCTCCTCTGCGGCAGCTCGGAGGGCTGTGGGTGGATGCTGCAGCACCAGCACAGCCACAGCCCTGCGGGTGCTCTCCTCTCCTCCCTCGCAGGCTGCAGCAGCTCCTGCAGAACCTTCACTGCCTCCTCCTCCTCCTCCTCCCTGCCTGGGAGAGGGGCTGTGCTCAGATGGCCCAAATTTCCTCTTTCAGAGCGACCAGCTGGCTGAATGGTGTAGGTCCTGTCCCACCCAGGGGCAGGTGTGCTGGTGGGTGTTCATTTCTTCTTTATTTCTTCCTCATCCTTCAAGAAATGACATTAGCAGGTGCTCTGGATCTCAAAGCATTCCCTGCTCTCAGTCCAGGGGAAGGGGGAGCAACCCAAGGGGCTCTTTGCAAGCCCCAGACATCTCCTGCCACCTGGGGAATTCTGTAGGGTGAAGCTGATGTGTCCTGAGAAGCCCAAGAGCCTTGTGTTTCCAAGGTGGTGGGATATGAGCTGTGGATCAGCCTTAGCCAGGGTTATCCTGAAGCTGAGGCACCTCTGGAGATGTTGTGGGGTGCGGAGGGAAAGGATCTGCTGGAACTGGGGAAACTCCTCTGCCCTGTTTGCTGTGCACAGAGCGGGGAGCAGATGTTGGGGTGCAGCAGCCGTGATGCAATTTTGGTTTTGGGGCCGCTGCTCTGGGGTTTAAGCGGCCCTGAGGTTTTAGGGGTGAGGAGGAGATAGCGGTGCTGGGGGAAGCACCAGGCTGATAACGCTGCCAGGGGAAGTTCTGCTGCTCGGATCAGCTGGGACAGGGGGTGAGGGAGGAAACCAGCAGCTTTTTGTCACTGTAGGGCCTCTGGGGTTGTTGTGGTCAGGCTGCACATGACCCACAGCCAGTGGGAATCTGTCCTGCCAGTCCCGTGCCTGTGTCCTATTTATAGACCTGCTGTACACAGGATAAAGCCTGGGAGAGGGGGGGTTAGGAGGGAGGATTTCCCCTTCCTTTTCCAGACAGATCTTGGGATACCTGAGCTTGGGTGTCAGCTCTCACCACCCCAAACTTTGCAGCCATAGGAGACCTCGTAGAATAGAAAGATGTGGGGTGGAAGGAGTGTTTAAAAGGGCATTTAATTCCAACCTCTTTGCCATGGGCAGGGTCATTTTAACTATATATTTTAGCTGTATGTCAGGTTGCTCAGAGCCCTGTCCAACCTGACATTGAATGTTTTTTGGGATGAGGCATCCCCCATCTCTTGGGGCACCCTGTTCTAGTGCCTCACCACCCTCACAGGGAACAATTCCTTCCCAATATCCCAAATTCCTTCCCATCTATCCCTCCCCTCTGGCAGTGGGCAGCCATTCCCTGTGTCCTGTCCCTCCATCCATTGTCCCAAGTCCCTCTCCAGCTCTCCTGGAGCCCCTTTAGGCCCTGGAAGGGGCTCTGAGCTCTCCTTGGAGCCTTCTCTTCCCCAGGCTGGACACCCCCAGCTCTCTCATGACCCATAGGGAGGCTCCATGCCCACAGGAGACTTGGCAAGAGGGTTTTTTGTTGTTTTTTCTTTGCTTCAAGAGCCCTCTGGCTCCCAGCTATTTGCTTTGCTGGCCCTGGGCCATGTCCATGGTGCAGATGCAAAGCAGCAGAGCTGCTGAAACTCTGCCTCTTTCAGGAGAAACTGCTGGGATCTATTTTCAGTTTGGTTTTGGGTTGCCTGGAGAGTGTGGTCTGGTAACCCGAGGCTGGGAGATGTGTCTGTCCCTCAAAAGCTGGGTGTGAGCAGCACATCCATGCCTGGCAGGGTGCTTTTCAGCCTGTCAGCAAATTTACAAACATCTTGCTGGAAAATAAAACAAAAAAAAAAAAAGTGTAATCATGTGACTTCTGGCCTCAGAAACGCCTCCTGCCTACGCTGGGAAAATACCGAGTTGACTGCAGGAAGTACAGGGGGTTTTGGGGTTCGATATTTGTGTGTCTGTGTGCATTTTCTTTTATTATTATTATTATTTTTATAATATTTTTCATTAAAAAGGTGCTTCAGCTCAGGCTTGTTACCTGCAGGCTTCCTGTTGTGGGCAAAAAGCACAGTTGTATTATATATGTATTTATTTTCCTGGGTGTAGCCTTCTGTGTAAGCAGGGAGCCAGCAAGTGCCTTGCCTGCAGAAACCTCTAAGCAAGAAAATATTCATGAAACCCCTGAAAATATCCATAAAACCCCTTCAAAGAGGTGATATGTAGGAGTGAGAGGACCCAAGTGCTGCTGAAACTCAGCTGGTTTTCTCTTGGGCAGAGCTGAAAGCACAAAGAAGGGGGAACAAATAAATAAATGGTGGGAGCAGGAGTGGGAAAGGAGAAAAAAGCCCCTTTATACAGCGAGCTGCAGCCGCCTGGGCTCACTGCTGGCAGAAAGTAGGGCACTCCTGCTGGCTTTTCTTCTCTGGAAAGGCTGAACTTGGCTGGGAGTGGGTGGAAGCAGCCGGCAGGGAGGTGTGTGTGTGTGTCCCATCCCCATCCCCTGCTCATCCAGCTCTGCTGCTCTGGGGCTTGCAAAGGTGATTACACCTTCAGCTGGCTGAGTTGAGCAGGAGTTAAAGCCCAAATATCTCTGCTGTGGAGGAGCTGAGGTGCTGGAGCGCTCACCAGGGTGGATGTGGGGCTGGTGGGAGGGAGCTGGGAGGGTGAGGAGGAGGAGGAGGGTGCCCTGGTGTGTTTGCAGAGATAAAGGAGCTCGTGGCCTCGTGATGTGTCTGAGTCAGGCTGGGGACGTGGCACAAGTGGCTGCTGGTGCTGGGGGTTAATGTGAAGTTGGGCAATTCGGTGTGAATTGGGTTAAAGGGGAGCAGGGAAACCACAGAGCCCTGGGGTGGATGGTGTCTGTGCTCCTGCACGGGAGGCTGTGCTCCTTTCTGTCCTCCTCTTCCTCTGTATCTCTGATCTCCAAACTGGGGCTTTCCTCATTCCCTGCACTCTCCCAGTGGGAGAGGAGCAGAGGACAGCAGCCACAGACAGCTCTGGTGCAGGGACAGGGGGTCACACCTGGGGTTGTGACACCCCCAGGGCAGTGGGCTGGCCAAAATGAGGCTCTTAAAAATGTAATTTGGAGTAATATCTTAAAAGGGAAGAGCAGGGCCTATCAAGTCCCATGCCTGAAGTTTGGGGTGGAGATGGGGTATCACTTATTCCTTCTCCTGGTCCTTATTCTCCATTGCTGTGGAAGTAAACACAGGTTTTAATACCCTCCAAATCCCTTGGATCGGCTTCAAAAGGTATTTTCCTGCTGCTGCTAATCTTGCAGTGGTCAACAAACAAGGCTGCCTTGTCTGATATCTCCTGAGCTGCAGAGGGGGGGGTTTGCTCTGTTCCTGTGTCTCTCTCCTGACCTTTGGGGCAGTTGGGGATCTGGAGGGATCTGGTGCAGCCACACATTTTATCCTCCCACGTGTTGCTGCACTGAGCCCACCTTGGGAATGTTTCCAGCGATTCTCCAATCTGGCTGCAGGTGGAGTGTCCCGTTCAGCAGCCAAGATGTGGCCACACGTGTCCCTCCTGTGTGTCCTGGTGGCCTTGGCCAACGCTCGCAGCATTCCTTACTTCCCTCCTCTCTCTGATGACCTGGTCAACCACATAAACAAGCTCAACACCACCTGGAAGGTGAGTACTGGGCTGATTTGGGGTTCTTCTGGAGAGGCATTGCTGACAGTCTCTGTGGGGTTCAGTGTCTGAGCTTTGGGAGTGTCACTGTGGTGGTGACACAGATCCAGCCTTGGTCCCAGCTGGCTTTTCCAGTGAGGTGATGCTGCCAGGGGTTCCTGCAGTGACAGAGCTCCTCCTTGGAGCAGAGCAGGGTGAATTTGTGGAACAGGAGCAATGTAAGAGTAGGAAAGTCTGCAGGGGGCTGGAGACAAGCAGTGAGTGTCCAGTTATTGGTGACCTGACCCTCCTTGGCTGCTTTGCTCTGTCCAAAGCCTGGAGCTGGACCTCACTGGTCCTGATGGGCAGATCCTGGGCCGTGTTCTGTGTCTGTAGGTGCTTGGCTCTTGGCCCCTGGGCTTTGTGTCAGACTCTGGTTGGGGTTCAGGGAGCTCTGGAGCACTGGGATCACATCACGGTGATCCCAGAGATGCTCCTGGTGGCTCTGGGGAGTCGTGTCCCAATGCTGCGTGTCTCTCTCCAGGCAGGACACAACTTCCACAATGCTGACATGAGCTACGTGAAGAAGCTCTGTGGCACCTTCCTGGGTGGGCCCAAGCTCCCTGAGAGGTGAGTGCAGGGAGGAGAAGGTGAAGCTCCAGTAGAACTTGTGTGGATCCTTCATGAGCATCTGGAGTGGGTCAGGGGCTCTCCTGGCAGGCTGTGGGCAGCAGGGTGGACATTGGTGCAGCTTCGTGGATATTTTTCATGGAATTAAGCATGGAGCACACGTGAGGGGAAAATCCATCCTGTGTCCTGCCAAATACTCAGCCAGTTGTGCAGTTTGTTATCCTTGAAAATGAACAGGCCAGAGGAGCTGCTGACCTGATCTAAGGACAGCAGGAGCATTTACACTCCATCAGTGAGCAAACAACACAAACGTCCTCCAGGCCACCTTCAGAGGAGGTTGGAGAGTGCAGTGCACCCCGTGGTGGTTCACTGGTGTTCCTGAGACAGGATTTCCCTCTCCTCACAGGGTGGATTTTGCTGCAGACGTGGAGCTGCCCGATAACTTCGACTCGCGGACGCAGTGGCCCAACTGTCCCACTATCAGCGAGATCAGGGACCAGGGCTCCTGTGGCTCCTGCTGGGTAAGGACAGGGGAAGTTTAATGTCGTGTTCATAAAATTTACTGGGCAAAACCCACACCTTTGTATTTGCTGCTGAACCCCCTGCCATGGGCAGAGGCACCTTCCACTCTCCCAGGTTGTTCCAAGCCCATCCAACCTGGCCTTGGACACTTCCAGGGATCCAGGGGCAGCCACAACTCCTCTGGGGAACCTGTGCCAGGGCCTCCCCACCCTCACAGGCAGGAATTCCTTTCCAATATCCCATCTATCCCTGCCCTGTGGCAGTGTGCAACCATTCCCTGTGTCCTGTCCCTCCATCCCTTGTCCCAAGTCCCTCTCCAGCTCTCCTGGAGCCCCTTTAGGCTCTGGAAGGGGCTCTGAGGTCTCCCTGGATCCTTCTCTTCTCCAGGTGAGCACCCCCAGCTCTCCCAGCCTGGCTCCAGAGCAGAGGGGCTCCAGCCCTTGGAGCATCTCTGTTGCCCTTTGTGAGGGGACACTGTGGGATCCTGCAGTGTCTGAGCTCCTGGGTGGCTTCTCCCAGCCAGGCCATGCTTGCTGCTCTCATTTGCAGGAGATTTCCTGGTTTCTCTCCCCTGGCCAGCTCTAATGGGTGTTTTGGGGTTGCCCTCAGGCTTTTGGCGCCGTGGAAGCGATTTCGGACCGGATCTGTGTCCACACCAACGCCAAGGTCAGCGTGGAGGTCTCAGCTGAGGACCTGCTGTCGTGCTGTGGCTTTGAGTGTGGCATGGGGTGAGCTGCTCCTGGTCCTTGTGCACCTGGGAGGTGGCTGGGGGGAGCAGGGGCAGACCCTGGAGGTGCTGATTGCTTCAGCCCTGCCTTAATTGTCTCCCTTAGGAGCTCCTCCAGGGGTTTGTGCTGTGCATGAGGGAGTTAGGTGGGAACATAAAGGTGATTTGAGGGACTGGGACACATCCTGCCCCCAGCACAGTGGGTGGTGATGGCTGCAAGCACATAGTGCTGCTCTTCCACACGGAGCTGGCAGCTGCCAAAGCCAAAGGAAGGATCTTTCCATAGTCCCAGATCCTTGGTTTTCAGGCACAAGCCTTTTACCTGCAGCTTTCCCAGTTGCTGAGCATAGGGTAGGGAGCTGAGTCTCCAAGTTCTGTTGCTCCTGGCAGCAGAAGCTGGTCAGGGACCTGGTAAGAAGGCACTTTGGGATTTGGAGCCATGTTACCTCCTTGCCTGAAACCTTGGTGTCTCAAGGCAGATCCTGGGGAAGAAAAGAACAGCCTAAGAAAAGGCTTAATGTGCCCAAACCTTCCTTTGAACCATCCCAGGCTGGCTCCATTCCCCTGCCTCTCCCAGAATGGGATGGCTGGGGCTGGAGCTGGTGCCTCTCCTCCCAGGTGCAATGGTGGTTACCCCTCTGGTGCATGGAGGTACTGGACAGAGAGGGGCCTCGTGTCCGGGGGTCTCTACGATTCCCACGTGGGTAAGTCCTGGCAGATACCCTTGGGGAAGTAGGGAGGAGCATCTCTGCTTGGTTGAGGCTCATGTTTTTTGGGGTGCTTTTCTCCTGGTCTGCATCCTTGTGGCTGCTCCCTCCTTCGACATGAGCACCTCTGCAGTCCCAGCTGGCTGCCCGTGCCCCCATGGCTCCTTCCAGTCACTCCTTTGGTACAAGGGTCCCTGAGCAGCACCCAGAAGCACATCTGGGAAGGGAGCCAGGAGCCCTCAATCCACCCCCCAAGGCTCCTGTTTCCATAGCAAGAATGAATCAGCCTGTGAATTTTGTGTTATTGCTGGTTTTGAACCAGTTCACTACGCTTTGGATGAGGTCGGGAATCTTCCTGACATGTTCCCCCTTTAAAAAAAAAAAACTTCCAGACTTGAACCCTCTGCCTCTCCCTGTCATTACCTGATTCATGTTTCCACCTTTTCCAGCACCGTTTGGGAGAGGGAGGTGGTGGGAAGCAGGTCTGGTGGGAAACACATTGCTCATGGAGGGTTTGGCAGGGGAGGACCTCCTGCACCCCACTGATTTGTGGGTTCCTGGGGCAGAAAGGCTCTTTCCTGGGGCTTCTGCTGCCTTCTCCAGCGTGGCTGTTGGGATCTCTGGGGACAGCCAGCTGATGTCATCTCTGTCCTGGACAGGCTGCCGGCCCTACTCCATCCCTCCCTGCGAGCACCACGTGAACGGCACCCGGCCCCCCTGCACCGGGGAGGGAGGGAGCACCCCGAGGTGCAGCCGGCACTGTGAGCCCGGCTACTCACCCTCATACAAGGAGGACAAGCACTATGGTAAGGCAGGTGGCCTCCAAAGCAGCTCCAGAGCTGCTCCTCGTGGCAGCTGGGAGGGGTGGGCAGGATTGAACCCGTCCCTGGTGTGTTTTTTCTCCCCTGTGCCCCGTCCCTGGAAGCTCTGTCCTGGAGCAAACCTGAGTGTGGCAGATGCAGGGTTTGTGTTTGCTGAGACTCAGCTGGGAAGGGGGAACTGGTAGAACAGGTTTGAGTCCTCGTGGTGCAGGTGGCTGGCTTGAGGAATGTAGTGCTGAGCTCCATCTGGTGTCAAAGCCACCTCCAAGCCTCCTTGGCAGCAGCCAGCCCTGTACTTTTAGGATTATCCGTCTGTTTCTTGGAGATGTGTCTTCACCTTGAGTATTTTGGGTTTTGAAAAGCAGAATGTACCAGGGAAAAAAGTCCCTTCCCACTAAAGCTGTCTGGAATAGGTCTTTGGGTACAGAATAGGACTCAGATTAAATAATTCCCTCTGGAAGAGGGGTGGCTGGAGCCCGCTTTTCCTGCTTGGCTGTGTCAGTCCCTCTGGAGCTGCCAGGTTTGGATTTAACTTGAATTTAAGTGCAAGAAGCCTCCTGCAGGGTCACACTGAGCCATCCTGTGTGGCCTGACCGTGCCATCCTAATGGTGGGAATTCTCCTTTTAGGCATCACATCCTACGGAGTCCCTCGCAGTGAGAAGGAAATCATGGCTGAGATCTACAAGAACGGCCCAGTGGAAGGAGCTTTCATTGTCTACGAGGATTTCCTGATGTACAAATCTGGTGAGCAGCAGCACTGGGGCTGTGGGGGGAGCTTCAACCCTCTTTTGTGCCTCTTTTTGTCCCTCTTTTGTGGTCCTGGTCTGTCTGCTCCAGTCTTGGAGATCTCAGCCTCACACTTGAGTATCTGGTGTGGCAAGGACACGGGCAGATGCCATTTCCTGTATCCATAGCAAGGGTAATTGGTTCTTGGGGCTGGATCAGGGAAGGAGCCCTAATGGGAAGCACCCCTAATTCCAGCTGACAGGAACAGCTCAGATTTAGGACCTCAAAACTCTTGTGAATAGGCTTTGAGCCCCTTGGGGAATGGTGTCCTGTGTGCTCAGCTGGTGCTGAGCATCAGTCACAGAATCATGGAATGGTTTGGGAAGATAATATTTAAAAAATCATCTCGTTCCAACCCCCTGCCATGGGCAGGGACACTTTCCACTATCCCAGGTTGATCCAAGCCCTGTCCAGCCTGGCCTTGGACACTTCCAGGGATCCTGGGGCAGCCACAGCTTCTCTGGGCACCGTGTGCCAAGGCCTCCCCACCCTCACAGGGAAGGATTTTCTCCTAACACCCAGCCTAAATCTCCCATCTTTTAGTTTAAAACCTTTCCCTTCTGTCCTGTCACTATCTCCCAGTGCAGAACTCCTTCTTCCAGACTCTGCACTAAGTTTCAGTTTCACATTTAACCAAAAACATCTCCTCAGCCACTCTGGGGTTTGTGATACCGGGTGGCCCCCAGCCTGTGAGCGCTCTGTGCTGTGGACAGATGGTTCCTGTTGGCATTTTGGGGTGTTTTTCCCTGTCGGAGTCCAGGACATCCCTCTGGCTGCCCTGGCTGTCTCGAGACCCTGGCAGGGGCCTCGGAGACCCTGGCACGAAGTCAAAAACATCTGTGGCTTTGATTTTAGCATGTGGAAAAAGCTGTCAATTTTATATGAGGAATTACAAGCCACAAGGGTTTTAGTAGTTGGATATTTGAACTAACACAGGGTGGAAAAGTAGAATTTTGGGATTTTTAGAATGGGGTTCATGGGGGTACAAGATGGAGGAATTTGAGTGTGTCCTGGCCTTTTTCTCCTTTGTCTTGTCCTCCATGTCTTGGTGTGATGGTGACACTTTTCTATTGGTTTGAGGTAGAGGTTCACAGTTGAACATAGATGATAGGAGTTGGTAGAGAAATTGTAAACATAGACACGTGTCGCTATAGGACATGTGAAAGCACAACGCAAGCCACCTGCTACTTTGCAAGGTAAAAGAGGAAGTTTATTTTCTGACTCCAACTTTTATACTTTTCTAAAGGTGACAGTGGATTGGAGAGTGAATGGGCCACCTCTCCAAAGATATTGGACAAACCACTAGTACATTAAGTTTCTCTACCCCTATGAAGGAATGCAAAACAATATGTTATTTACAGAAATTGTGTGGGAAAGTTTTCCAATAGAATGTAAACTCAGAAGGCTTTAGAAAAACTTAAGAATCAGGGCGACAGACACGTAGTTTTGAGTATATAAGGTAGGAACTGCCCAAGGCTCAGGGGCAGATTGCCATGGCTTCCTTTCTGGACAGAGCTCAGCAGGTCAGAGAAAGAATGTTTAGACAAGAAGAAATAAACAACCTTGAAAGCACAATCGGAAGCATTCCAGGCTCCTTCTTTGCTGCTTGGGCTGGGGAAACAAAGACTCTTTAGGATCTCAGGGGCACCCTGACCTTAGGAACCCTGAGAGAAATCGACATTTCCCTTGCAGGGGTCTACCAGCACGTGTCTGGGGAGCAGGTGGGAGGCCACGCCATCCGCATCCTGGGCTGGGGCGTGGAGAACGGCACTCCCTACTGGCTGGTGGCCAACTCCTGGAACACCGACTGGGGGGAGAACGGTGAGAACCACCGGGAATTCCTGCCCCATTTCCCTGCCCCCTTCCCCTCTTCCCTGCCCTGTTCCTCTCAGATGGATGGATGGATGGATGGATGGATGGATGGATGGATAGATGGATGGATGGATGGATGGATGGAGAGGGTGACTCTTTTTTTTTGGTGTTCTCCCAGGTTTCTTCAAAATCCTGCGAGGAGAGGACCACTGTGGCATCGAGTCCGAGGTTGTGGCCGGCATCCCCAGGACGGAGCAGTACTGGAAGAGGATGTAACTCTGATCAAACCACAAATAATCCTGAATCCCTGATGCTTTTAACTGATAGTGGGTTGGGTGCAGAGACCCTCCCTTCTAAAAGAGACTCTAGTTCAGGTTACTTTATTAAAGCTTTTTATCTTTTCTTTTTTTTTTTTTTTTTTTCAATTTTTTGTTTGTGGTTTTTTTCTCTTTTAAAAATTTTTGGGTTTGTTTTTGTTTTTTTAATTGTACGGTGGAGCTGGAGGCAGAACTGCTTTCTACCAACCTCCTGCTTCTGGTGGGTCACAGCAGGACATTGGGGCATTCCCTGCTCAGAGGACTGCTGGAGAGCTCGCTGGCCTCTTGGAATCTGGTTAGCCTGGACCCCTGCCAGCCCAGTTTGCTACTGGGAGGGCAGGAAACAGTAGCTTTGTGCTGGGATTAGGGACTTGGTGGGGCAGCAGAAGTGGATGCTGCTGGAAAGCCATGGCCAGGGGGGATTTGTGCACCCCCAGATGGGTTGATCTGACTGTTAGCACCTGAAACAAGCAGGGAAGAATTTCCTGTGTGTGTGTGCCTTGAATTGGCTAAATTTAGACCTATTAATGAACAAAATACTGATGAACTTGATGTGAGGATGGCTCTGGCCAGAGCTGCCTGCACCAAGTCCCTCGTGCATCGCCTGCTCTGCTGCATCCTTCTGCATTTTCAAACCACTTTTTCCTCAGCTGTTCACTGACTTTTTTATCTGCTGTAGTCTGGGGTTATTGATGCTGGGGAAGGGCCTGGCTGGAGCTGCAAGAGCCTTTGATCAAATAGCCTGCAAGCCTCTGGGAGGGAGCTGGAAAGAGAAAAGCCCTTCTCCTCCACGGCTGAGCAGCTTGATGTGTGCAGGTCACGCCTGGGCAAGGGTGCAGCACCCAAATTTGGGGTGCTTTGGGGCTGCAGGTGCTGGATGCTAAGCTGAGGGACGGTTCCCAAGTCTGCTGCAGGGAGCTCAAGCAGATGCTTGGAGGTGTCTCACTAACTTGCGACACGATTAAAGCTTTTTATTTCTTGAGCCACAGTCATTGAGGAAAGTAAAACCCCTTATTTTTGTTACTGGGGGGAGGTAATAGCTTAAGTATAGGAGGAATCATGTGATTTGCCAACACTAATATAGCAAAGAGCATTTTTTTTAAATTTTAAAGCACAAAATATATTAGTGACCTGAGGCTATGGGTCTGAAATGTGTGAAGCAGGCTCTCCATGCACTGTAAAATAGACCCTTCCTCTGCTTGCGCAGGCACCAGTGAGGCAGAGCTGTGCTGTACTTGGCTGGAACACCTGTGCCAATAAATGATTTCTCCAGTGTCTTGGCTCCTGGATCTTGGTTGCTTCTGCTTGGCTTCCACCACCTCAGATGGTTGTGTGGAGTGGGAGCCAAGTGAGACCCTTCTGTCTTCAGAGAATGGTTTGGGTTGGAGAGGACTTTAAATCTCATCCAGTCCCACCCCCTGCCATGGGCAGGGGACACATTTTTCTATCCCAGTTTGTTCCAAGCCCCATCCAGCCTGGCCCTGGACACTTCCAGGGATCCAGGGGCACAGCCACAGCTTCTCTGGGACCCTGTGCCAGGGCCTCCTCACCTTCACAGGCAAGGATTTCCTCCCAATATCCCATCCATCCCTGCCCTCTGGCAGTGGGAAACCATTCCCTGTGTCCTGTCCCTCCATCCCTTGTCCCAAGTCCTTCTCCAGCTCTCCTGGAGCCCCTTTAGGCACTGGAAGGGGCTCTGAGGTCTCCCTGGATCCTTCTCCAGGTGGAGAAAGGCTGGAGCAGAGAGCAGCCAGCTGTCCCCAGCGTCCCTGAGGATGCACCAGGGCCCTGGAGCATGTGCCTGCAGCCCAGGGCTGTGCCATCACTCCTTTCAAGGTGAATTTATGGACCCTCAGCTGTCCCTCTGGTTAAAATTCTTCCCCCAGGTCTGGCACATGGGGCTGTACTTTGATACCCAGAGTTAGCACCAAGGGACCATTGGAATTTCATGAGGTGAGGGTTTGTAACTTGTGGGGAAATTACCGGTGTAAAAAAAATGACAGCTGAAAAAAAAAGATCCAGCACCTTTTTTTTTTCCCAAAGAAAACTTTTAATTTCAACAAGATGGGAAGCTGCACAAAGAGAGCTACCACGAGTTTCTTTAGAACAACAGCTTAAATCTACACCAGGAACTGTGGAGTAGGGGTTCTCCTTCTGAGAAACAGCCTGGCCACAGGGGCTTGGCCTTGCAAAGGCCACCACCCTGCACCTGGTAGCTCTGTCCTAGACCAGGACATGAGCTCTCCTTCCCTTCACGACAGCAAAGCAGCATTTGAAGGAGGTGGGTAGGAAACTTGAAAACAATCCACCCCAGGAGAACAGGACTTGCCTTCTTCAGAGTGTTGTTTCTTCCAGTGCAGCCAGATGTGTTTGAAGACAGCAGTGGGAGCCTCTTGCAGCTCACACATCAGTCTGACCCAAAGCCAGAGCCAAGTGGGTCAGGGAAACCTGCCCTGGTCACCCCCTTGGTGGCTCCAGCCTTCCCAGCTCCTGGCAGGGATCACTCCTGCCTTCCAGGGTGACAAATGCCCCCTAAAAAAGCATCCCATGAGGGACAGCAAGGTGCAAACTCTCACTCCCCTGCCTTGCTCTGCCACGACCGCCCATCCCCTGGGGCTGAGTCAGTGCAGAGCCCAGAGCAGAACCCTGACTCCTGCTGTGGAGTCAGGCCTGGGGTTACGAGCTCAGGGCTGTGCTGGCAGCTCCATTCTCATTTTAATCACCTCTCCCCAGTGCTGAAACAGGAGCTGTGTCACTGCAGAGCCCATCTGTCCCAGGGCAGGGAGCTGCACAGCTGCCTTTCAGCCGGGGGCTCATTCAGGTGGGCAGAGTACCTCACCTCCCATATATTTGACATTAAAAGGGCTCATTTCAGCATCCTTCAGCACAACAGAAATGTGACTACGGCCTCTGCCTGTTTCCAGGCTGCAGGATGTCAATCACTGAGGGCCAGAAAGTGGCCAGAGCTTTTTCCTTGGATAAGGAAGCACATTCCTCTCCCAGCTGAAGCAGCATCTTTCCAGCACGGAACAGGCACCAGAGGAAAGGGAGAAGAGGCTGCCTAAGTAAGGGAGGCAAAACCTTCAGGGTTTTGCTCAGCTCTGAGCTGGAAAGATGCCTCAAATCTCAAGGAAGAAAAGAAACAACTGGAGCTTCTATTTCAAATCACCCTAAAGGAAAAAAAAAACCAAAACAAACAAACAAACAAAAAAAAAACCCATCAAAAATATTCAGGTCAACAGGAAAGAAGGCGGAAAAGAAATACTCAACCCCAAACACTAAGACTCCAGTCGGCTTTTGCAGCCATCCAAGCAGACAGCAAGGGCAGTGAGGATGGAGTCCAGCAGTGCCACGCTGTCACCCCAGGGCCTGCAGCTCCCCAGTGTCCCATCCTTGTCACCATCTCAGTGCCGGGCCACCCCCACAGCAGGGGACGAGGAGCCTCCTGCCCCCGCTGCCCATCTGCCACCACTTGTCCCCCCGCCCGGGCACTGCCCTTCAGTTGTCTCCTGCCTGCACGTACTCCTCGGTGGCCTTGGAGAGGGTGCTGAGGTACTGCCAGCTCAGGGCTGCCAGGAGCATGGCACAGGACAGGTAGATGGGGGAGTAGTGGTGGCGGGAGGCCATGGGGCTGCCGGGCAGGCTGACGGCGCGGATGGAGGCGACGACCTGCTGCGTCTTGTTGGACGAGGGGTCCGTGCTCGGGATCTTCTGGTAGATCTGGAGGAGGAGGGAGGAGGAGTTACGGCTCCCACAGGAAGTTTAGGAGGAGAGTGAGACCAAGCTGAAGTTTTAAGGGCTAAAAGTGACCTCGGTGGTGGAGTGCCACGAATGACTGGATAGGTCCCGGGCCATCTCCCTTGGGAAGTGCACTAAGCCAAGCTGCCTCCTGAGGGCACCCCATGATGGGACATGGACCACACGGCCTGGGACACGATCCCTCAAGCCCCAGGGGTGTTACTGGGACCAGTGGTGTTACTGGGATCAGGGGTTCTCACCCTGCAATCCTCACTTGCCGTACAGCCCACCTGAAACCAGTGAGAACATTCCTGCCTGGAAACAGCAACCTTATCATCACCTGATCTGTGGCATTTGGGGTTTTCTTCTCATGGCCTCTGAGTTACTCCTCTGCAGGAGTCTGAGCAAGGTGGGCACAAGCAGAGACCCTCTCCTGGGTTAAAGCCCTGCAGTGTCACTGTCCCTTGCCATGGGATCGGCCAGTTCCCAAGAGCAGCTCTAATAACCCATGGCTTGGGTCTCCCTGCTGCAGAAATGAAGCCTTTTTATTTAGCAGCCCTCACTGGAATTCGGTTTTGGGGAGAGGGGTGTTTTTTTCCCATGAAACCACCCACGAGTTGACTCCATGTGAACTTTTAATCTCCACAGGACCCTGAAGTAAGGAGGAAGTTATATGGTCCCCTGGAGACAACTTTTCTCCAGGCTGAGCCCCTTTCCCAGCTCCCTCAGCCACTCCTGGTGCTCCAGACCCTTCCCCAGCTCCGTTCACTTCTCTAAACATGCTCCAGCCTTTCAGTGTCCCTCATGCTGTGTGTGGCCCAGAACTGACCCCAGAACTGGGCCAAGGGGATGGGCACTGCCCTGGTCCTGCTGGACACACTGCTGCTGGTCCAGCCACTGGCCCCAGCCCTGCTTCTCAACACAGACCCAGACCCAAGGGAACACACCAAGCACAGTTTGGGCCAGACCAAAGCCACATTGGGGTCACCACACCCCACCACCACTGAGCCAAGGATGGAAGGAACAGATCCCCGTGTACTCCCAATTCCACCCCAAGCCCAGGGACAGGAACAGCCAGAAATGACTCAAAGCCAACTGCTGAGCCTACCTCTTCCACATACTGGTACACGATGGCTTTGACAGCTTGGATGTTCGTGGCATCCATCATGAGGGTGACGGCCTGGCCCTTGCGGATCTTCACCACCCCCCTGAACACTTGCTGGTTGTTGTAGCAGGCAGTCAGCGTGGCAATGGCCATCACCTGAGGGGAGACAGGAACTTGCAACTGCAAGGAACTTGCCAAAGGATCACCCTGTCCACAGTGACATCCATGGAGTGGAGCCACCATCTCAACAACAGCAGAAATGGCAGGAGCCAAGAAATAAGCAAAAAACCAACAACACAGAACCTCCTCCAACTCCAGCTCCTCACCAGCTGGGCTGCAGAGGATGAGGAACCACTTGGAAGCTCAGCTCACCTGGGGGATAGCGCAGAAGTTGAAGACACTTTGGTTTTTGAGGCGGGACAGGTAGGTGAGGACGTCGGGGACGTGGTGGAGGGCGTTGGTGATGAGCTCATTGAGGCACTGCACGGCCATGTCGATGTTCTCTGGCTTGGCAAAGTCTGAGAGCTTCTTGGCATATCTGCTCCAAACCTAAACACCAAGATTAGTGTTTGTGAGCTGGAGGGGGCATTGATGTCACCAGAGAGACACCAGGTCTGGGACAGCAACAAGAACCACAAAAAACCCCCACACAACAGCCTCGGAGCATCGCTGGGCTAAAGGAAAGCAGGAAGGTCAGGCTGTGGAGACGTGACAATGGCCTTGGAGTACACAAAGAGATGGTAAAGGAGGAGGGTGCAGCTCATCTCCACATCTTTCCTAGGGAGGGCAAGGAAGAGGTGAGTCACACATCAAGAAATGCCCTGTGAGACAGCTGAGCCACATGGAAAAGGGGGAGAAAAATTTTTGGACATCATGTCAGGCACAGGTAGAGCTGATCCTGCTTTTGTGAGCAGACCAGGTACCCTCCTGGGATCTCAGCCAGTCTCATCCTCCCTCACTCCTAGAGAAAACCTAGCAGAGGGGAGCAAGAGCTGCCTAAGTAGCTCCTGGCAGTGTGTGGTGACATCACCTTGTCCCCACATCTGTACCCAGAGAGCTGCAGACAGATGTCAGCCAGCTGTCATCAGAACTGTCATTACCAAGAAGATGTGCAGCCAACAGTAGCAATTTTATGAGGTTTTTCCTCACCTCTCTGGGCCAGAACTCCCTTCCCTCCAGCTGGTCCTCCAGATAGTCACGGATGATGTTGGTTTTCTGTAGGAAGAGGCCCATGGAGTTTGCCAGATCTGTGTCCTGCCCCACGATGGAATCTTCCAGCTCTGATGCAGAGAAGAGACGGGAAAGGCCAATCCCCACCAGCCCAGCAACGTAGTGACAATACTGCCAAGGAGGTGCCAAGTTGGGAAAGAAAACAAGATAAAAGGAGCAGTTACAAAGAGCTGCCTGTTTGCCACAGCCAGTTTTATGAAAA